GGTGAACTATCTCAGTATTTATTCTTGAAATTGCGGGAATTTGACAGAAATCTCAGACAACATTGAGTTCTTAACTCTCCATAGGTTTGACTCTCACAACCTCAGCAAAACCATCTCCAAACCAGCAGGTGATGTCAGCTGTATCCAGGGTGAAGAAGAACAGGCGGTCTTGACAACGCGTGCGACGATATACTGATCTAGGGTCAGCTGACAGAATGCCTTTGATGGCTGCCACTGCTTCTTCTGGTCCTTTCAAGAACTGGAACTTTGGTCTTGTGCGGTCTATGAATCAAAAATCATTTAGAAATATTACAACTGCCTTCATTAGAAAAAAAAAACCTTAGGCATCAGAAAGATCTAATACCTGTACTGTTGCAGGAAACAAACTCTTTGAGCTCTTTCTCAGCATTGGCAGTAAACCGCACGTCTAGGTTACTGACAGGAGGTGCCCTGACCCAGGCAGCGATAGTACTGTAGTCCTCACATCCAAATTTAAGACTGGATGAACTTAAATGGTTGGTTGACAATGAAGTGCATTCAGGAGAATCTGTCTGTTTGTCTTCTGGACATTCAGTGAAAAGCTGCTGTTGTTTGACATAGTTTTTAACCTCTGCTAACACATCAGTCACATCACTGGATCCAGACCTTTCTGACTGAGAGAAATCTGAAGGTCCAGCTGGACAAACTCTGAGCACTGAGGAGGGTTCAGATGATGTCCCTGAGATGTTTGGTTCTTCATCTAGATCCATCACTTGGGGCATCTGAGAGTCTGTGAATGGTGATGTTTGTCTATATTCACTGTTGGTATCATCTCTTCTTGTTTTTGGAGAATCGTAGTCTGGAATATATGGTTTGATGTCTAGCACAGGTGTTCCAGCGATAATATCAACGCCTGACAAGTGAAGTGTATCCCCTTGAAAATCAAATGATAAAGGATTACTATATTGCTATATTCAGCATGTTAAAGGGTCTTTCAAATCATAGGTTCCCTCAAAATTATTTTATGATCTTATGATGGTAAAAAACACATTTTCATATGGTAAACTATCATACTATGACAAACTTGATGTTACACTAGCTGTCCTGTTAAAGGATTAGTTCACCCAAAAATGAAAATTAGGCTGCGTTTTA